CTCATCTCTCACTCTCATTGATGTTTCTAACTCTCTATCCCTCTCCTTTCTTCTCTGTAAAATATCAATAAAATATATTTTTTTAAAAATGAAAAAAGGCAACCTATGGAATGTGAGAAATATTTGCAAATCAGATATCTGATAAAGGTTTAATATCCAAAATATACAAGGAACTCATACATCTCAATAGCAAAAAATAAAAATTTTTTTTGAATAGACATTTTTCTACCGAAGACATACAAATGCCAACAAGCATATGAAAAGGTGCTCAATATCTTAGTCATCAGGAAAATGCAAATCAAAACCACCATAAGATATCACCTCATACCTGTTAGAATAGCTAATACCAAAAAGCAAGAGATAAGTGCTGGTAGGATGTTATAAAAAGGGAACCCTAGTGCACTGTTGGTGGGATATAAATTGGCACAGCCATTATGGGAAATAGTATGGCAGTTCCTCCAAATTTTAAAAAATAGAACTACCCTATGATCCAGCAATTATACTTCTGGGTAAATATCCAAAGGAAATGAATTCACTGTGTTGGAGAGATATCTGCACCCTCATACTCACTGCAGTATTATTCACAACAGCCAAGACATGGAAACAACGTAAGTGTGAATGTATGGGTGAACAAAGAAAATGTAGCATACATAAAAAATGGAATAATATTCACCCATAAACATAGCAGGAAATCCTGCCATTTATAACAACATGGATGGACCTTGATAGCATTATGTTAAGTGACATAAGTCAAAGACACATACTGTATGATCTCATCTGTATGTGGAATCTTAAAAAAAAAGGCAACTCACAGAGTAGATTGGTGGCTTCCAGAAGCTGGGCTTGAGGGAAATGGGTACAGGTTGTCAAAGAGAACCAACTTCTAGTTTTATGTCTGGGGATCTAATATACAGCATGGAGAACGCAGTTAATGATACTATGCTGTATACTTAAGAGTTGCTAAAAGAATAGACCTTACGTGTTCTTACCACACACACATACACAAAAGTAACTGTGAGCAATGGGTGTATTAACTAACCATACTGCGGTAATCATTTCGCAATACGTACTTACGTCACATCATTACATTGCACACCTTAAACTTACACAATGTCCTACATCAATTGTATCTCAATCAAGCTGGGAAAAAATCTCATAAATACATAATTTGCCGGATTAAATAGTACTTTGATTTGTTCCAAAATCTGTATCTCTCTGGTGTTCAGGGTAGTCCTTTACATTAGCACTTCAGAAATTGGTACATTTGATAGGTCACAGTTTTACATAAATAGAGCTTTCTATTCTGTGCTATTTCTCTTATTAATATGCAACAATTCTATTGCGCATTCAGACTCCAGCAGGACGCTGACTGGTGTTCTGAGTAAGTGATCCACCGTGATCCGAGCCCTCTATTTCAGACACGCAATTAGAACCTTTGGTCTCTGCACCTGCTATTGGCAAAAGAGCTGCCACTTTTCTAGCCACGTGTGCAGGGCTGTAATGCTGCCTTGCACTCCAGACACGGCTGCTGGACTCCCTCACCACTGGAAACTTCTGGCCAATCAACAACCTCATGATTTCACTGCGAACACCTTCTTATATAAAGATCCTTAACAACACGGGTCCAAACCCTCATCCCTGGAGAAACCGTTCTTTATGCCTCTCCATCCTGAGATGTGCTCATCGGTCCTGCCCTCTGTTTGGTGTTCCTAGGCCAGTTCCCCGACCACTTCTGTTCCTGAACCACCTACTCCTGTCCCTGAGCGGCATTAATTTTTTATTAGTCTTCAAGATGACTATTAACAAAGGGCTACTAAAAAGCAAGTCTACTGGCGAGAGGGAGTGGTTGGGGGGTGTCAATCGGGGAAAAAGGAGACATATGTAATACTTTAACCAATAAAAATTAAAAAAAATAAAAAGCAAGTCAATCACAGTCAGTAAAAGCTCATTCCAGCATCTTTTTGGGTGACCTCTTATCAGACTCCTAGCGGGAATCCATGCAACCACGGTGTGACAGAGTCATCATTTTGGGCAACATTTTCAATTTCATTTTAAAAATTATTTTCTGGCTGCCCCGCCATCTGGCCCCCGCAGACCTGCAACCCGCTACCGACCAGTCTGCCCAGCACTCGCGTGCACCATGTCTGGTTCCTCCAGTGTCACCGCTATGAAGAAAGTGGTTCAACAGCTCCGGCTGGAGGCCGGGCTCAGCCGCATGAAGGTTTCCCAGGCAGCTGCAGATTTGAAACCATTCTGTCTGCAGAATGCTGACCTCCTGCTGACTGGAGTATCTTCAAGTACCAATCCCTTCAGACCCCAGAAAGCTTGTTCCTTTTTGTAGTAAAATGAATTTTGAAGGCGTTCTAAACCACTTTTCTTGAACTGGTGAATAGTCAGAGAGCTAAATCTGAAGCCTGTACAAAAAGCTTACCCTATAACATGTCTCATACTACATAAACTTCTGCTTTTGTTAGTCCTTAACATCTACCCCTCTGAATTTTCATGAATTTCTATTTCACAAGAATGATTATTTTATATACACTGGCAGCAGCATACAAATAAAATACTTAGTATAAAAATTATTTTCTGATTAAAATCACACGTTCACTATAGAAATTACAAGTTCATTGGAGAAATTTCGAAAAGCACGAAGGAAAATATATAATGAATAAAATGAAAATTACCTCAAATTCAACCAAAGAAAATCACTGTAAATTATTTTGGCATATTTCCTTCCATTAATTTTTTCATGGATTTTACATTAACATTTGGATTAAATTGCATACATTCTTTTACAGCCTCTAAGATTTTTCTATATTGCTCACTAATTCAAAAAAATGACAATGGCTGCACAATATTCCAACATATAAAAAGTCACGACAATTTATTTACCCATTCCCCAGATGCTGGACATTTAGATTGTTTTAATACTTTCACTTTTACAAACATGTCTGAAGAGTCCTGTGCTCTGCACATAAGTCCTTGTCTCAAATGCAGATGAGAAGCAGGGCACGGTTTCTAAGCAACCCATCAGATGGCACCGTTACCATGGGGTAGTTTGGCTAATGTTCACAAATCCAATATTCCTTATGGAGCCTTCCAATCTAATGTAGCACCTCATCATGTCATCTGATGGTGCTTTATAACTGCATTATGTGCATTTATTAACCTCTACCCAGACCTTGAGTTCTGTGAAGCCAAGGTTACTGAATAAGGCCAACCTTTTATAATTTATTTTCATTTTTATTTATTTTATATTCATATATATTTACTTGTTTTATAGCTATATTAATTACCATAATATTACTCTCAATTTTTATTAGTTTTTAAGTTGCTCTGTATTCTTTTTTTTTTAATCCTCCCCAAGGATATTTTTCCATTGTTTTTCTTTTTTTTTTTAATACATCCCTATTTGTTTCAGAGAGGAAGGGAGAGGCAAAGAGAGATAGAAACATCAATGATGAGAGGGAATCATTGATTGGCTACCCCTGCATGTTGGTCCGAGCCCGCAATGCAGGCATGTGCCCTTGACCGGAATCAAACCGGGCTACCCTTGGGTCCGCAAGCCGACGCTCTATCCACTGAGCCAAACTGACTAGGGCAAGTTCCTCTATATTCTACTGCATCTGGCAAAGGAACTATTTTAGAAACCTAACCACCACCTCTGTGGGAGGGGAAATAAAGAGCAATGCTTACAGGGGAAACCTGGTAAAAGAGTTGGGGGCAATGATGCTAGCTCTAGGCCAACAATCCCCCACCAACACAAGCATCAGTTCTCCATTCTTCTCTCTAATGCTCCTAAACCATCAACCTCCCCACCCCGACATGTCTGGGTTCCACCCTGGTTTCCTGTCTGGAATGCCACAGTTCTAAATATCCCATTTTCCTAGCTCCACAAGCAGCAGTTGGTAAAGGAAAAATCCAAAATAACATTAATGCACATTGAGATGGAATATACCTCAGCCCCAACCTCCAGCTCACTGTGAGCCTGTGCACTTTAAAATGGGTCACTTTTTGACTCAAATGAATCTGTCATTTGTAACCTCTCTGCCAAGTTACAGGGTGAAGAACATTTGAGCAATGTGAGACAACCAGGGGGGTGTGGGCAGGAGGAGGAGCTAGAATAGAGGGCAGAACATTTTCCTCTTTCCGATCTTTTATGGCCTGTTCTCGATGAATGATTCTCTCTACGATGCTATGAGTAACACTACCATTCTACAACTGATTACATTCTGGGTATTAAAAAATTACTTTTTGAAAAATAAGGTCATCTGATGGCATGGCAATCCACTAACACAATTCTTCCACTGTGCTCCCCATAACATCCATTCCTGTACCGACCACTTACTGAGGGCTCAGGAAATATTTGTCCCAGGGGTGGGCAAACTTTTTGACTCGAGGGCCACAATGGGTTCTTAAACTGGAACGGAGGGCCAGAACAAAAGCATGGATGGAGTGTTTGTGTGAACTAATATAAATTCAAAGTAAACATCATTACATAAAAGGGTACGGTCTTTTTTTTTTTTTAGTTTTATTAATTTCAAACGGGTCGGATCCGGCCCGTGGGCCGTAGTTTGCCCACGGCTGGTCTAGACTCTAGTTGAACTGAAATGCTACCCCATTCGGTTGCCACCTTACTATAGCAATCCACCTCAATCAGAATTTTCTCCTTTGCATGAAAATACGGGACAGTGTCAGCCTGCCCTCTCTCCTCCCCTCCTCCTCTGGCCTCCCTGGGTACCTGCACCACGCTGTTCCCGGCAGCCACGGTGGCCCTTCTCCACATCCGCCTCCGGGTGGAAACCTCACTCAGCAGCTGGGCCAGTTTGCGCTCCATCTCAGCTTGAAACACTTCATTCTGGAGCTGCTTCTCAACGACGCCCAGGAGCACTGCATTTAAATGGAGACACACACAGGCCCCTCAGTGAGTTAGCGGCGGCAGAAAAAACGGGTGAGTGGATAAGAGAAAGTAGCATAGGGTTACTGTAGAAAGCCAGTCCCCAGAGCAGCGATTTTCAACCTTTTTCATCTCATGGCACACATAAACTAATTATTAAAATTCTGCAATATGGCAATCTGAAAAAAATAATTAGTATGATTTTGATTCATTCACACCGGATGGCTATTGTTGTGTTGGCTGTTGTCAGTCTTTTACTTGACAATTTAAACGGAAAAGAGGTCAGTGCCCCTAACTAAATAGCATGGGTGCTGCAGGTTTTAAAAATTCTTGCGACGCCCAGGGTGAAAATCGCTGCCCTAGAGAGGAGACATTAAAAAGGGGGAAAGCGAGGGAGAATCCCGGAAGTGCTGCCCACGAGTCTTGTCTACGGTTCCCAGCTCCACATGCTAGAAGGGCTGGTGGCCAGAAGTCCCAGAAACTCAGCAATGCACAGGGGCTCGGCAGCTGAGAGGGCCTGCACAAGATCAAACATTTTGTCTGCACTTATTGTCAAGATCTCTGGAAATGGTTTAAGTTCATATCTTGTCTCATAAACTGACTCAAGATAAGGTGCCTGTCTTCAGACATCTGCTGTAAACAAGATTATCTAAGCAGACAATCTGCCAGATTTTCTGTTCAGCCAGCACTGGCTCAAATCCCCTGAGACAGGACCACGGGCAAGTCACTGAAGCGCTATGAAAACTATCTGGAAAATGAGGCCACGGTACCAGGCAGAGGTGGGGCCTTTCCATGAAATGTTGTATGTGAAGCAAGAAGGACTAGCAGGTACGGGAACGCAGAATGGTGACTGTCACCACCTATGTGCTTCCTCCCATGACTAGCTCCTCACAGTGCTGCTCACACACTGGGCATCAATGAGCAGCTTACTACCTCTTACACTTTTGTATAACCAGATGAGAAAGTCTCATTTGGCAATGCCATAGCTGTAAATATCTGACCCAGGTCTCCAAGACTTTTAAAAAGGCTTCTTATTTGCTCACCAAGTTACCTTCCTTGTCCTTATAAAACCAAACAAATAAGGCTTTTAGAGAAAGAAAGAAAAAAACAAAAAGGATCCTTGCTTCAGAACCTCATCCTATTCTGGGTCAGAATACTGTCAATTCCTGTTAGACTGCCCTGGACTTGATATATGAATTTTAGAGGGAGCCAACCCTTTTTGGGCCATAACTCAGTGGGACACGTTCCACAGTCAAATCTGAATCCCTTTCTCATTCATCCTTTGCCAAGAATTGAAGGTACACTTTGCCCTGAATTTAGGACTGAGAAACAGGAAAGGCGGTATCATTCTTAATATCCCTGCACAGACTTCTTCTTATTACAGTTCCCAAAATATGGTGTCACGTTACACATACCTGTTCTTACCCACGAGGACTTCAACAACTGAGACAGGTTGAGCTGCGGGTACTGGAAGGCTATAAAAAGAAAAGGGTTAGGAAAGGAGACAAATGTGTAAAAACATGCTTGCCACAGTCAGAAAGGAAACACCGGGTAAGTCCCAAAGGGCTGCCTTTCCTATGTGATTGAGCACTAAATATGGAAGAAGAAAATGCCCGACTGGTGGGAAGGTGTGGACAGTGAGCAGTCTCGGAGCACATTAGTTTCACAGAGAAAGAGGGACAAAATGAAATGAAGGGCTTGCTCCAGTGACATCGTGGGACACCGCGTCCCAGGATCACCCGCACCATCCCCTTGAAAAGCCATTGCTCCAGAGCAGTGAATTTTCACACTGTATTCCTCAGGGCCCTGGGTTCCCCGGCAGTGACTCCGGGCCAAGCGACCCTTGTCTGGCTTGCGTGGGGAGGGCCTGGCGTCCACCTATCATCCAGCGTATTATTCTACCCCCATTGTCACACACACCACTGAAAGTTGCTCGATGTAGATAACGACTATGTCCCTGTCTACTGCTTCACTTGACAAGTTATCCTTTAGCATTTAATTAACAGTACACTAAATACAGGAAGAATTACTAGACCATTTAGCTGTTCCATTTTCAATATTTTTTTTTTTTTTTGGCCTGACTTCAACTCTGGAATCTACTGCTTTTTTGTTTTGGAAATAAATGTCTCTTCCACCCCCAACCCCCTCCATTTGCACTGTGAATCTAATTGCCGGGAAGAAAAGTTTTGTTTTGTTTGTTTAAGTCTCACTCTTTTTGGGGTCTAGTTTTATGGGCTTTGACAAATGCATAGAGTCATGTAACCACCACCACAATAAAGATGTAGAACAATCTCATCGCCCTCCCCCACAAAAAAATTGCCTCCTGCTACCCTTTTTGTGATCTAGCTTTCCTCCCACCCTCATCCCTGGCGACTAGAGATCTGTTCTCCACCCTCTTTTCACCTTTTGCAGAACTGGCCTAATCTTTAATAGCACCCCATTCCTCTCGACAGAGAAAAAACCGAGGCCCAGGGTGAGGAGGGCTCTGGAGGCCCACCCTGGCTTGATTCTGAGACGCTCCAAAGGTATCTGGTTTATACTCTGGATTTCAGCTAAACATTTCATTTGAGAAAAAGTGGGCCACCAATAAAATGCTCGCAGCCGCATTCCCAGCGCCGTCCAGGAGAGCAGTACTCACGTTCGGCGATCTGGAGCACCGGGTACCCCAGATAGAAACTGAACTCCACCACACTCAAGTTCCTGAGCAGCTCGCTCACTTGCGTCCCGTTCCAGAACCCCTGCGTGCTTTTAACAGCAAAGACGATGTTCACGGGGCCCCGGCGAGGCGCCACCCTGGGAGAGCCCACAGTGATATTCAAGATCTGAAAGAAGGAAGTCAAAAGCAGTTTCTAAAATAAATGAAAACAGACTGCTGAAAGCTTGACTATAATTTCTATCATCGATTTTTTTCTCCCCAAAAAGAGGGAACATTTTTGGCCCTAGCCATGTGGCTCGGTTGGTTGGAGCATTGTCCTGTACACCAAAAGGGTGCACGTTCAATTCCTGGTCAAGGCACACATACCTAGGCTGTGGGTTCAATCCCCAGTAGGGGGCGTGTACAGGAGGCAACTGAGTGATGTTTCTCTCTCACCTCTCTCATCCATCTCTCTCCCTCCCTCCCTTTCTCTCTCTCTCTCTCTCTCTTTCTCTCTCTCTCCCCCCTCTACCCCCGCCCAAATCAATAAACATATCCTTGGATGAGGGTTTAAAAAAAAAGAGGGAACATTTTTAAAGGAAGAGTAACGGGTTTCAATGGCCTGGTTCCGGTTTGCAATACTTTAAATCCTCAGGGCAGTGAAAACGTTTTCACATTAAGTGATGAACTGAGCACATGTATGTATAGTTCCTTCCTCTCCCCTCCCATCCTAGAGCCCACAGAAAGAACAGTAAAGCTGAACAAAGAAGCGTAAGTCCATAACAGCTCTGAGAATGGATGAAAACCTGAGATTCTGTCAAATTTCTGGAAAATGGAGAGGATGGGATCATGCTGATATAAACCAGAACGGAGTGACCAAGACCCAGAACACACACAGGCTCAGGCTCCACAGTTGGGATCCAGAAGAACCCAGAGTCCGCTGCCATAATTAATTGAAGGCTGTGTGCCCAGGAGCCCAGTCCATTTCCTCCCTCCTCTTTCCTTTCTAATAGCCACACCCAGGCCAACACAGAGATGCTAATAGCAGCCACGTCTCCACCAAAATAGCTCAAAGCACTGCTCCCTAAGGACAATGAGCTCCCTGCCTCTGAGAAGACCGAGAGATTTACCCATGGTCAGAACCCTAAGCAAGGGTCGGTAGTGTTCACAAGAGACAAAGAAGGAGAGACAATGGAAAGAAAAAGCAGCTCTGCCTTGAAAAATACAAACATGCTCCATCCCCGGGCACAACTTCCTTATCTTGCACTGGTGGCAGGGGTCCCAGTCTGCTGTCTCTGACCACTCATGGCCCCAGAGAGAAGCCCACCACCAACAGAGTCTGCACAGTGCCCAGTGCTCCACTGAGTCTCCCATCAGGACACAAGGGTGACAGAGAAACAGACCCAACAGCGGAAGGGGAAAGCCAAATGAGCTGCCAAAATTAACCACCTGCTCCTTCATTCCAACACCAACCAACCAATGATCTCCAGGCATTTACAGAAAACCGATAGCGCGAAAGCAAAGAGCCAAGATTGACGCAGTACAATGGCTGCAAAGAAAATAAAGATAACCCAGCAAACAGAAGACAACTTTATTTTAAAAATATATTTGT